GGTAATGGAACTGAATTACACATCAAGCCTGCCCTTTGTTTGCTGGATGGTGTGTTTTTTGAGTCAGTACCTGAAAGTTCAGGCCTCAGTGTCATCTCTAAGGGTGAGGACAGCATGACCACAGGGATAAATGAGGAAAGTACCCAGGCACAAGACCTTGATAACTCGGGCTTGTCACATACTTCCTGTTGGGGAAGACGTCTCTCTCTAATTCTATCCCCTTGGCCCAGCAGCATGTCTGCTTTGATCTCTATCCTGTTCTGGCCAAGAGCAGGGAAAGTAAGTGTCATTCTCTGAAACTTCAGCAAAATAAAATTCCAGGCCCAAGAGAGGCACGGCTAAGGACATCCATTTCTTTCTGTGAAGTTTTCAGTCCAATTCCTGATCCAGAGGGGCTGCTGGCTCCTAAGTCAGCTTTGCACCATGACTGTGGCGAAGGATTGGGGCCCAAGCAGAGCCTCCCTACCCAAGGTGCTTGTCCTTCCTACACCGCCCACCCCCAAGCTCCCTGCTTTCTCCATACCATCACTTCAGGACCACCAGTGAATTCCATTCTTTCCAAAACTGAGCACAGGAAAAACAAAATTTCTAAAATGTGGTAGTATTTAGCTGATTCAGTTATAGTAAATTCTACAATTAGAGAGGATTTTCGGTGACTTTTAAGCAAATGTGCTCAGGGAGCCAGGCTCTGCATCCTGATTAGGGAATGAGGGCCTTGTCACAGGCTGTGGGGCCATTTCCAGTCTCACTCCCACCAGGTCTGCGGAGCTGGAAAAGCACCCTGCATGCAGTGGCAGAGGTTCTCTTACCCTGCATCATCCCCACACTCAGGAAGACAGATTGCTGCTGTGCTGCACAGTTGCTGCTGTAACAAGCTTGACCCAAAGCCATTGGATTCTCAACTGAATCAGCTAAAATAAACTCAAGAAACAGAAAACAGACCTGTGACCAGTTTCAGGCCTGTGTTTTAAAAAGAGCTACTACCCTCAGGAAAAGCAATTGGATATGTGATTACAATAAATGACCAACTCTAAAGAGCACACTTGCTTTTTTCTATGCAAAAACCAGTTGTGAGAACCAAAAGGCACAAGTCCTGTGGAAGTTTCTACCATTCTCCCTCTTGTCAACCAGATATGAATATAGTCATTTGTGCCTCAGTATTTCAACCGTTTAGGAATTTTCAGACATATAAACAGAATACTCTAGGTTTTCCATTATTCTGGTAACAGTAGTTTTACATGTGGAAGTTAAAGGCTGCTTTTGGGTACATGAGCATCCACATTTAGTTAATGCCCAAAATATGCCAAATGTGAGGTTAGAGTGTGCAAACCCTTAGTAATGATAAGGGCGTGTGAACGCAAGCTACTCAGACTGTGCCATCTTCACACCCTCCTATATTAAAGAAGACTTGTAACTCCCCCACCCTCTGAGCTCATTATGGTAAGGGATCCTTTCACTCACTGATGGTTCTTGCCCTTCCCAAGAACATCCAGCACACAGAGATTTCCATTGTTCCAAAGACAGTGTGGCTTGGCGGCAGAACTAATATTATCTTTCAGTGTGAAGCTTTTATGAGTGTACCAAAAGTTGCAAATCTGTCCCACATATAAAGGCATAGAGGAGAAAGGAGAAGCTACAAGAAGGGGAGAAGATTCCTGGGAAGGGCAGGCTTTGGAAGGCTTTGTGGGGCAGAAGGGACGGGAACCTGATCTTGAGTGAGTCAGGGTCTTGGTAGGGGTCGGTGATGGAGGAGAGGGATAGAGGTGTGTATAAGAGGAAGGAAGGCATGAGATGTGCTTGCAGACAATAAAGAAGTAAGAGAACTGCAGCTCTCTCTTATATTGGAGTAGGGGGTCTGAAGAAAAGGGTACCCCAGTGGCACAGTGGAATTTATTTTTTTCTTCATCTGACTGTTCATAGCATGGATCTCGGGGCCACAATTCCAGTGGTGACTCATGGGACCAGGCTCAGCTACCCAGTCCATTCAGTCAGCTCTGCATCCAGTAGAGAGAAAAAGTAAAGAGTATAGGTTGTGTGTGAGGAATTTCACAGATCAGCCTGTGTGTTACACCATTTGTATTTTCTTCCTGCTGGTCAGAACTCAGTCACATAGCTATGCCCACCTGCAAGGCATTCTGGGAAATGTAGAATAACTTTATTGGGGGAAAACAGAAAGCACTGTGTCCAGGACTGACTTCTGCACTGACTTCTAGCCCACTTAGGTTGAACTTTCTCTTGAAGGCAGTGTGAGTCACGCTCAACCATGGTAGGGTAAGGCCAAGCTCATTAGTGGTGAAAATACCTCAGAGGGAGTGTGTTTTGTGTCTTGCATTCAAAACCACATCCACATTACATTTGTGACAGATCTTCAGCCATATTGGTCAAAATAAGGGGATGGTGGATGGGGGCCAGAAAGGAGTCCCAGACACATGAAACTTTCCCATAGTTGAGGCTGGGGAGCCAATCAGCACTGTTGTGACAGTCGGTAGTGTAGTTACTGTAGAAATTTATTCATGTTTAGAAACAGAAATGTTAACTCCTGTTGTTTTAACTCTGGGTTTCCTGTAGAGCCACAGATTGTGGTTTAACCAGAATCCCTACTGAACTGGACTCATGGAAGCAGACTGTGAACTACGACTGTGTTCCTAGGCAGGGCTTGGAGCTTCTCTGGAGGCATTAATTGGCACACAGCCTCAGGACTTGGGCTGTGCCACAGTATCGCAACCCAAACAAAATAAAACTTGACTCAACCAGCAAACCCAGACTGGAGTTCAAGTTACTTTAATGGACTCTTGGGAAACACAAACTGCAGTCGCATTACCTATGCAAAGTTTGCCTTTTGACCTTACGGTAAGGGAAATTACTGTTGTACACGTAATATTTTGCCGAAGTGTGGAGAATCTAACCCTTTTGTAATTATGCAGTGTTTTTAAATTTTAAAATATGCTTGGAAAATAGATGCAAACCCAACAGGAACAGAGTATGTCAATGAAAAGCGGCATAGATTCACCATCCCAATATTTTGTCCAATATGGCTGAAGATCCGCCATCGTGCTCTCTGTATGCCTGAAGGAATCCAGCACACAGTTGCATTATGTGGCCTGGACTACAGCCTTAGGAAGTTGTTTGCACAGAAATTTCTTTAAAATGAAAAGCCAAGGTAGCATGGCCCCATCATTCCTCTGATACAGCTTTTGTGTTTTGTGTGTAAGCTGGGACTGACCTCGGGTTGGCACAGACTCAGTTATCCACCTTTGAAGTCTTGAACTTTAAGATTATGCAGAACTGAGTGACAAATCTCAGAAGAGCCTGTGATTTGGGCAAAGATTTTTAAGCAATTCATGCTGATCTGGAAATAATCTAAAAATAACAGAAGAGCTATTGTTGGTATTTTCAGGTGTTCTCTATTAGTTTAGGGAAGAATCCAATATGAAAGAGGCTTAAAAACAATAAGTATTTTAAAAGAGGTGTAACTTGCTCTCATTTTCATTCTTGCCCACAAAAAGTAAACTGTAATAATAAAAATGGTCAGAACAGGAGGGGAAAGCCAAAGCAGAGGGAGACCGCAAAGGCCAGAGCGGGAGGCCCCGTATCCCTAAAGCCAAGGCTGGGGCTGCTGCGGCAGACAGTGTGGGTAACTGTGTGAGGAATGGCTGAGCGTCTTCTTTTGATTTTAGAAACAGCTCAACATGGATTTGCTCTCTTTTGGCCCAGAGACTTTCTAACCTTAAGTTTCATTTTCAGGCCCTTTGAGATATTATAAATTATTCCCTGTAGTCCAAAGTTAGCCTGAAAGCTAACTTTTGGCTATAAATTTTCCTGGGTTCTACCTCTGATCTCAGAGAGGCCGCACCACTGAAATTTCAGTTCCCTAGTGATCTGTTTACCAAATTCACTTATTTTCTAACAGTGAAAACCAAAGCCTGTATTTCTAAAGTTCACAGCAAGTCACACTGTAAGAAAGAATTCTCACAATCCACAAACCAGCAAGCTGGTTACTGTGACTGGCCTGGAAAGTACTTCCCCCTCCCCTTTTTCATCTGCCCAGCCTTCTGAAGAGGCATTTCTACCATGCTGAGGATGCAGAGTAGGTGCACCTGGTAAGAAGAAAGAGGAGCATGTGCTTCCATGTGTTCCAGAGAGGAGAGGTGGAAGAGGGGTGCGAGATTAGGAAGCGGACAGGGGACCGGAGGCTGTGGCCAGACGGAAGGGTGAAGAATGAGGGTGAAAAAGTAAGGAAGATAACTGAAGGCTCCAAAACTTCTCCCATAGGCTTCTGAGGCTCTGCAAGTTCTTCCAAATCAATCATCAGGGCCTATGCTTAATTAATGGAAACAGACATGGTTAGCTTACTGAAGCAAGGGGAGGGTTCTTGTGACCACAACCTTCAGTGCTTCCACCGTCAGCAGGTTGGCCACTTCTGCTGGCTGAGGCACCATTAGGCCATGCCAGGGTTACTTGCCAGCTGTGCAGAACAGAGCCTTCCTGGAGGAGGCTGTCTGCAGGAGCTACATGTAGATGGGGGTAGAAAGAGGAGGAAAAGTCTCATGAAGCGCAGGGTTCCTTTGTGTGTGTGAGGCTGGAGTGAGGAGGGAGGCCCTGAGGGCGTGCCCCACTCATCCTGGTTTGAATGAAATTTCCATGGTGTTAGGACAGAAGTCTCAAGTCCTAAGCAGAAAGAGAAGCTGGTTACCCTAGACCTACTCCACAGGCACTGTTGAAAGGGACAAGACAAAGGCAGGTGGTGACAGCCGAGGGGAGGTGACCCTGGCTGTGTTCACTCATGGGAATCTGTTTGAAGCTGAAGTTTGTAGGGTCCACAAGGAAGGTCAAAGGCTGCTTGAGGGAATCATAGGGAACTGGGCAGTCCCCAGGCACTCAATGATACAGAGATTCCCAGGACTGTGGGGAAGAGCCCTAGGTCTGCTCCAGAAGTCTCGCTTGTGCCACCTGTACACACTGACTTTTCTAAATGTGCCTTTCTCTCTCTCTTTTCTTAGGGAGGCAGGACACAGTGCACGAGAGAAGTCTGTCCCATTCTCTCTTGTCCCCAGCACCTTAGTCACACCCCCCCAGGACAGTGCTGCCCCAAATGTTTGGGTGAGTGACTATTTTCAGGTCAAAGAATCATGATTGTCTTCCGGGAGTTCCTGTGGAGCGTGTGTATGCACACTGCTCCCTGGGGTTCTGAGATGGCCCTGGTTGCTGGCTTGCTAGAGACACCTGCTCCCTGGATCAGACGGGCAGAAGGTGTGAACAGGGTGTGGCTTCTTCTCTTGTCTTCCCTTGATCTGGAATCTGAGATATCAGATGACACAGAACACAGCCCTCCAAGAGAAGAGGACTGTTTAAGGCTGTTAGTGGCACATTTGTTAGTGGTGGTGGGAGTGATGGCCCGGAAGGGTGCAGACTTGGTTCCCTGCAAGGGCAAAGGGTGCAAGTGGACAGCATGCAGTGAAGAAGAGGCTTGGCAGGAAAGAGGGAGGAGCAGCAGGAAGGGAGGTGGGCACTTTTCCTGAGCACTGATTGTGTAGCAGGTACTGAACTGTACACTATATGTGCCTTTTCTCATGCTATCTTTTCAAGAAGTTGTGAAATACAGTTAATAAAAATAAAGCCCCTGTGTGCACAGAGGTGCTGTTTTTAGTTTTATTGTAGCAGAGAAGAAAGGTCCCCACCGAGTCTTGGGGAAGTAGGGCTTGGGGACAGATAGGGTCTTTAATCTCTTTTGGCTTTGTGCTCTGCTCTCTTTCTCTTATGTCCATTTTGTTTTTGTGAAACATGGTTTTGTCCCATTAGACCTCCTGTCTTTCCACATCCTGAGGTGCCCTTGCTTGAATGCTCCTTCAGTAGATTTCCTACAGCTGGGATGGGTGGCTATTCCATGGAGAAGCTGAGCTTCCTGTTCCTGAGAGGGCTCAGTTACTCCAACTTGAGGCTCTCAAGGTCTCTTCTCTTGGCCTGTAGTCTCCTGTAGTTAGGTCACATCTCCTTTGCCTCCTCTCTTTTCTCTCACAGTTTGCTTCTCTGCCTTGAAAACTTCTTGCTGACCCACTTTTCTCATCCAGAAGATTCCCACAGCCAGACTCTGAAATCTGTTTTCTTTTTATAACCAGATCGGCAAGTTAAGGTGTGTTCAGCTACTTCAATTTTCTCTCTCTGAGGGCTTCTAATGTAGTTTTGTTTTGTTTGTATTATTTTGCTCATTTTGCTGGGACAAGGTCTTGCTATGTATTTCAGGCTGGCCTTGAACAGTGCAATCTAGACTGACCTTGAATTCCAGCAATCTTCCTGCCTCAGTTTCCTAAATCCTAGGATGATGCACATGAACTACCATTCCCAGATTCTATTGTATTTTCATCTAATACTGTTTGCTTTCCTGTGATACATATATATGTGTATATACACAGACTTTATAAATAAATGTGGAATAATTAAAATAATAGAGGAGAATTGTTTGAGCAGACTTGATTAAAGATATTTCCACGTACATATGCTTCTTTGGTCTCCCGTGTGCATTTGGGGCCCTGGAGTGAGATGAGCCCCTTCAGTGTGGCAGGGATGACAGTGCCATGGGCCATGGCGAAGCAGCACTCCCTGTTCTGGGGCAGCCATCACAGAGGGAGGGGTTTAAACCTGCCCCCAAGGAGAAGCAGGCTTGATTAATGCTCTGGGCTTCCTGAGTCCGCTTAGATGTTTCCCACTTGAGCCATTGCTGTTGTGTCGGGTGCAGGTTTTTCTGATCATTTGTGGTTTTAAAACAGAATATAAAAAGAACAGTACATTTTGGGAAACTTTTAAAACTACAATTCCCCCAAGTGGAAGTTTGTTTGGGCTACACTGCAGTGGAATAACATGCAAGTGGCTTAGCTCAGGCCAGCCTCCTAGTCTCAGAAGCACTTCCTTGAGTGTTCTTAAACTGGGCCATGATGGCTTTTGGATAGTGAAGAGTTTGTGTAAAAAGAAACATATTCATACAACAAAACCTAGAAGGAAAAACACCAGGATGCTTTCTGGATGCTGAGATCTCAGTCTAGTCAGACTTTTGGCTGACTGGGCACCAACTTGCTCTTATATTTCCCTTTAAACAGGTTTCATGACACATCCCAGCTTTTTGAATTATAAATTCCCTGTCTTGTTTTCCTTGGTTCCAAAGGAGCATCTCATCAGAGATCAGCACAGACAGAACAGCATCCAGCACATTCCCCTGTGACACACAGCCCAGGACCATGTTTGCATTATGTCAACAACAATATTAACAATGGTCACCACCTACCATAGGTTGGTGTGGTGCATGAATGCTGGGCACTGCTCCAGGAACTTTACACTTTATATAATTTTAGGTAAAACTTAATGGTTTATCAAGGGGTAAGTTAAGCCATTTGTCACATTTGTTCATGGGGATTAAAATGTTGAAGAGTCCTTTCATTGGTCAATTAATCCATCATCCAGTTGATAGATCAATCCCATCATCCATCTATCCATTCATCCAGCCATTGTCCATCTATTCAAAATACTGAGTTCAGCAATGATAGTATAAAAGCTGGCTATGGGGAGACAGGAAAGGGGAGACAGAGATTCATCTTATCAATCAATATCTTATTGATTGATAAGAGATGAAAGCTTTTATATCATGCTTTATATCTACTTGTCTCCTGCCTTTTGATAAAAATGATCTGAGGTAACTTAAAAAATATCTAAAGCACATGTAGATAAAAGATAAGACAAAGGCAAGCTAGGTAATTAAAACTTCTGAGGAAATTACTTAATTGAGCCAGAGCTGTTTTTACTTCTTACGGGAAAAAATATATCTCAGATAGATTTATACAAGAGAACAATATTAAAATTAGTAAAAGAATGACTTGACCTTATTTTATAGTAAATAAAAGAAAAACCTGCTGAGGGTTATACCATCCACTATAATGTCTTAAAATTAAGGTGGGAGTTGGTAGTGGTGACTAACTACGATGGGTTGGGCCAAATAAACCCAAGTGAATTGGGCTGCACACAGCTTTCTGATACTTTGCAGTAATCTTAAAGAGTTCCCCATAGGAATATCTAGGCAGAGGATGATCTTATATTTTACAGTTAATCCTCTTATTTAATCTGTAAGTTGTTAGGAAGTTCAAGAGACTTGGGACTGGAGAGTACATATAATATTTGGTGAGATTGAGGGGTATGGCAAATGCTTGAACTTAATATAATTACTACAGTACAGGACACATTACCGTTAATCCCCCTCAAAATACTCTCCTTTGCTTCAAACACATTTACCACTTTCTTAGGCAGCAATGAGTGTCATCTCTCATGTGTATCTTCAGGTGTGCTATCATATCATGGTTGCCTGAATCAATTCAAAATATCTTCATTCCATGATCACTTTGACTCGAGAGAAGAGCTAGATGTTGCCTGAGGCCATCTCTGGTGAATAAGAGGATGATGACACTGCCATGTTTTTACTGACCTGCTTTTCTATTGGATGGCACTTGGCAGCAGCATTCATTATAGTTGATCACACTTTGTAAAGACATGGATAAAAGAGGCCTTCTAGAACTGCTTCAGAAAGTGGTATGAGCAATGGGATAAATGTGTTCAAAACAAGGGAGAGGATTTTGAGGGTGATCAATGGCATTCTGTCTTTTACTATAATAAGTTTTTAAAACTTAAATATTTGCTATGCATTTCTAGAATACCAATGCCTGTGTTAGGTGGGATATTAACAATCTGTATCCTAAATGTACTTACTACCAAAGAGTTTTTCCTTATGCAACTGAATACTAATGCTGGCAATTAGAAATGCTGATATGAAACATTAACTCTGTTGATGCTATTCTATGAGTGAAGTTAGAAAAGTGCACAGAAATCTTACAGGTTACAAAGGAGTCTACATTTGGGATTCTCATTATAACTCACTGTTATCTTTTGAGGACCAATAAGTTTACACTTTGTGATGAGAACCAAACTAGTAATTTAGTTCTGTATCTCTACTGTATTCTGTCCTGCAAGCTGACTCTGAGATAAGATAATACTTTTTCCCTGACTCTTATTAATGGTATTTCTAATAACTCTGATTCCAAGAAGAGCACTTAGTATATGTTTATAAGTATTTCCAGCATTTCATTGCGTTTGCTGAGAAAATCAAAATTGCTATCAATCTTTTTTTCAAGAAGAGAAGTGAATTAAATATGATCACTGAACATGAATCACTGGTTTTTTTTTAACTTAATCTTTATGTAAACTAATGCTCTAGAGATGACTTGATGTACTTCAGGGAAGAGAAGCTCAAACTTGAAAGAAAGAAAAGAAAGGAAAGGAAAGGAGGGAAAAGGAAAGAAAATAAAAGGAAAAGGGAAAGGGAAAGGGAAAAGAAAGGAAAGGAAAGGAAAGGAAAGGAAAGGAAAGGAAAGGAAAGGAAAGGAAAGGAAAGGAAAGGAAAGGAAAGGAAAGGAAAGGAAGGGAAAGGATGGGAAAGGTAAGGCAAGGCAAGGCAAGGCAGAGGGATTGGATTTTGCTTTCTGTGTTTGGATTTTGCTTTCTTAGACATTGTGATTGTCAGTCCAATCCTCCTAATGGGAAACTGAGATAATTCTATGAGATACAGTGCCTGTAAAAGGTTAGACACTTGGTATGTGGAGTTGGAATTTTCCTTTGTTACACTTGAGTTAACTTCATCCTTTATGCCTTTATGGTTTGTTTTGTTTTCAGTACTGTGGATTGAACCCAGGGCCTTTGTACTCAGCTACCTCCCAGTGATTTTCATTTTTTATCTTGAGGCTAAGTGTCAGGAAAACACCAAGTATGGTAGGCTGAACTCAAGCTTGCAATCCTCCTGCCTCAGGCTCTCAGAATACTAGCCTTATGTAATTTCTGTGTGAATCTATTTAGCAAGCTTTAATTTGGTAGCATACCTGGGTAGCTTTTAAACAATAGAACTATGTTTCTCACAGATTTGCAGGAGGAAAGTCTGAGATGAAATTGATTGTAGATTGTGCATTTGGTGAAGGGCTGCTTTCCAGCTCACATATGGGATCTTGTTGCTGTGACCTCACATGATGGGAGGGCCAAGGCTCTTTGCTAAGGCTCTCAGAGTACTAGCCTTATGTAACAGTACTGTTACAATAGTACTGTTAGGGTTCATGTCGAGGTGTCTGTCCAAAGCCTCATGAGGTCACAAGTGGGGCTTTTTCTGAGGTGGCTGAATCTAGAATGTGATGCTGGGATTAAGGGCATGCGATAACTAAATTAGTCTGCTGATTGGTTGAACACCACCCTAATCCTGGTAGCCTAGATAGAGTATAAAAGGGGCAGTTAAAAGTGGCTTATGACCCCCTCCCTTGCTTTGCTGCCTTCTGCCTGCCACAATAGTTTCTCCTCTGTGAGGCCCCTCTGCCATATGCCAACCTGCCTTGGAGCCAATCTATTATGGTCTGAAACCTCTACAAACTGTGAGTCAAGACCAAGATAAAGCAAAACCTATATAACAAGAAATGTAACTTTTGTATCTGCTAAGGTCAGTCAAATCCTCTCAGGATTTACCCTGAAACCCTGTACAACAGTTGATAGATCCTTTGTCAGTGTCAGCCATGTGGATGAGTCATGGCCATTGCATGACCAATGTGCTCTCTGTGAAAGCCTGAGAGAATGTTTTCTCTCCATGTGATTCTCCATAGGCACACTCTACATCATGGATCAGAAAATTTGGGACACAACTGAGTTATAGGGTGTTACAATGTAGGTTATCCTGTGTCCTGAGTGCTCACTGACCTTGAAAGACTAGGGCCGAGATGTTATCTTGATCTTAACCATCCAGCAGAAAAGTATAAAAAACAAGGTACACTGACTTTCTCAGACCAAAAAGCTACAACTCTTGTTGCATAGGTCCTGCTTTACCTTGGTCTTAACCATCCAGTAGAAAAGTATGAAGTCGAAATATAAGAAATAAAGCCATGCTGTTAAGTTGAGCTGTGGGGGACTCAGGTCAATAATTTCTGACATTGCCAGTTAAACAGAAGACCCAATGCTATTATGGGCTACTGGACTCTTTTAGAATATTTTGCTGAGTTTACACACCTATAATATTCAATAGCGGAACTTAGAAAAAATGGGGTATACCGATGAATGTCCATTTTGTATCTGTGTATTCAACGAGGTTGGGATAGATATATAGTTGTTCTCTTAATGAATAGAATGATTGGTTCTAATGGTGTTTGTAAATAGGATCACAAGTCCGTATCTTGTACAGCAATTAACCACTAAGAAGAATATATGCAGTGTATTATTTGTTGAAACTGTCCTTCTGATTTGATTTGAAACTGTCTCATTGCTATCTGTTTGTCAATAAAACTTTGAAAAAAAAAGAGGAAAAAAAATAAAATATAAAAAAAAAACAATGAAATCAGTCAAGCTCAAGGTTATTGTATAATGTCTTGTCATTTTACAGTGTCTCTTTCTAGAGAAGTTGCAATAGATTGAGGGCTCCTTCTTCCCGAAAGAAATAAACTGAAATTGTAACCCAAAAAAAAAAAAAAAAAAAGGTATAAAAAGTAAAGCCATATTAATATGCTGAGCTGTAAAAGGCTCAAGTCAACAACTTCTGACATTGCCAGTCCTACGGATAACCCACTACTGTTATAGACTACTGGACTATGTTGGATTATTTTATTGAATTCATGCACCTACAATATTTAAATGGAATAGAATACCTATCTCTGACAAAACTAAACAAAAAAGGGGGATACAAGTGAAAGAACATTTTGTATCTGTATATACAAAATAGGATAGATATACAGCTACTTTGTCTTAATTCAATGAGAAGAAAGATTTCTACTAATAGTATTTGGATAGGATATCATGTCTGCATCTTGTACTATGAATAATCACTAAGAAGACAACAATATGCAATGTATTAATTACTGAACTGTCCTACTAATCGGTTTTGAAACTGTCTCATTGCTATTTGTTTCTCAATAACATTAATAAAAAACTGTGAGTCAAATAAGCACTTTCCCCTTAAGCTTTGGGTGTTGGATATTTTGTATCAGCAACAAGAAAAGTAACTATGACAGCCACCAACCCCTCATGCCCTAACCATCTCTCCAAGGCCCCATTTCCTAGTGCTATCACTTTGGCAATTAGGTTTCAGCCGTAGGAGGTTTGGGGTAACAAAATGTCTAGGGCAGTGTGGATGTTTTTTCATTAGTTCTTTTTGCTTATTGTAGTTATTGAGGTTTCTTAACTTCTTTCATCTCCACCCATCCTCCCACTTGTACCCACTTTAGGGTAAACCTATCATGTTTAAGGTGTAGCTCAGAGATCTCAGTCTCTAGATGTCTTCTGTGACTTTGCTGCTCCCGCACTTCTCTGTTGGTTTCTTCCCAGGACTTACCATGTCACTGTGTTGAATGGCCTGTGGGTTTGTCTGCAGAGAGGACTCTAAGCCCCATGTAGTCCTTTATGTCTAAGGCATCATGGTTCACTATGTTGGATGTGTGTGTAATCATGATTTGGAGAACTTATAGGTTTATAGGAAATCAAAGTCTTAAATAATGACTCGAATTAATGATTCCTGGGGGTCTCCTGGCACATCTAGACCAAGGTGCTCTCTTTGGCATTAGACTTTTGGTAGGTGGTTTACCATTTTGAGCTGTAATTGTTGATGAAAAAATAGGACATCCCTGGTGCTCATCTCTCTCATGTTGTGTTGTTTCCCTCTAGGTCAGAGGAAAGTATTTGACCTGCCTTTGGGGAGCTGCCTCTTTCGCAGTGATGTATATGACAATGAGTCCTCGTTTCTCTATGACAACTGTACAACATGTACCTGCAAGGTGAGGTGGTGCACAGGGCTGTGGCGCACATGCTAGCAAGAGGGTTAAGATGTCAGGGTTATTAGCCAGTGGGAATAGGGTTTATTTATCAGGTGCAGGCATCTGCGGCACCACTTCACAAGTGAAGTCACTCAGGCTCACCAAGAAATTGATGTGCAGCACTCACCTGATACTCAAGTCATCCTCTAGGCACCCAGAAAATATCTCCTCCTGGGAGGACCTGTCTTATTTTTCTCATTGCTGAGGCAAAATACCAAACACCAAGAGTTAAAGGAGGAAAAGTCTACTTGGCTCCTAGTTTGTAGAATTTTTAGTCCATAATCAGCTGAGTCCAAGGCAGGTGCCTTGGCCATCAGAGGAGACACCCTAAAGATAGCAAAAGCAACAAGGCAAAGGAACAAGACTCTTTCTGACCCTCATATTGTGTGCAGGCTACCCACCCTAGGGCTGATGAGCCCTCACACCCTTGACCCTAGACCTATGTCAAACCAATCAATGGACTGATTCACTGATCATACACCCTTAGGCTTAGCATCATACACTAGATTCAACCACCTCTGAAAAAGCTCTATGACTGCATGGGGCTTTGATGAAATATCTAGACACAAACCAAAACAAAGCCATACTCTGAAAATTGTCCTGAGGATTCTCCAAGCTAGAGAATGGATTATGTGTTTGCATTTTATGAGTTGATTTTTAATAATTTCGGTGTTCCTTTTACTTCACATTTGAAGTGCATAGCAAACCAGAGGGATGATAGGCAAAAAAGCACCAAATATCTTACGTAATGGATCTGCCCCTGTCACTCCCTGGAGGTTAAATGGCCTGGTAATATCATTCACAGGGGAGCTCTAGAACCCAATTTTGGGACTGTTCACTCAGTTCCTTTGCTGACACAGCCCATACAAGGGCAGTATCATCTGGGGTAATATGTTAGCTCTGAATTGATGCTGTTTGATCAAAGATGTTTGGCTTTCCATGAAACCCTCAAAGGTGGACTAAAGCAAAGGCAGAGAACAAAGAGAGCTCTGTCAAGGAAGAATGTTGAGGAGAAAGGCAGGAAGAGGGACACAGTTTGGTGTCCAGTAAGTGGGCTTCCCTGCCACTCCCTGACTGGAGTGGCCTGGCCTCTCACCATGGAGTTGTGAATCACTGAAAGGTGGAGAATGAATACCTGCTGTCCTCAGACACTAGAATGCCCACACCTTATTCCAGATGTTAAGCAATAGGTCACATTTTGAAGATAGAAGTTTTATTGTGAAACATTAAAATATAGCACCTGTAAGATAAGTTTTAGAGAAGTGACAAATGAGTTGTGGAAGGATGGTCAGATAGGACATCTGGTCTATCTGTGGAAAGTCATCTTTCATTTCCCATTCACCTTTGTGACCCCAGGACTCCACTGTGGTATGTGAGAAGAGGTGTTCCCACCCAAGCAGGTGTGACAGAGGCAAGGAGGTCTGTTGTGAGCAGTGCCTTCTGCAAGTGCCCCCAGAAGACGTCAGTGTGTGCAAGATTGGCAATAAGGTTTTCCGGGTATGTCAAGGGTCAAGCTCTTGGGCACCTTTGTCCTGTGCTGCCTGATAAACAGATCTGGGGTAATGCAGGTTGGGATGTTCTATCATCAATATGTGTGTGCACATATGAGTGTATTTGTGTGAATCTAATTAATTACAACATTCTGTATACACTTATACACTTTAAAATCAAGTAAGGGCATTTGAGACAGAGAGGCAATATTTTAAAAGGTGTTTACCTTTGGCTTCATTGCTGGTACAATATCCGATCCTACACTACACTGTTGCCCTTTCTAGTAGGTGGTATGGTCCTGGGCACCCACTGTCAGGAGCATCTCCTTCAGGTGGGGCTCCTCAGGGCCCCTTGCAAAGATGACCCCTACATCAAGATCCTCATGGATCTCAGCTTGCTGGGGTTTTGTGCAAAACACTTTCTTTTAGTACATGGGATTGAACTCAGGACCTTATGCTTGCCAAGCAGGTGCTTATGCCTCTGAGTGATCTCTCCAGCCCACAAAGCACTTTCAAATCTCCTTGTAAACACACTCCTTTAGGTAACAGCAGCCTAAAATAGCTGACAGAGACTGAGTCTGGAGAAAGGTCTACTTGAGGTCTAGTTGCGGTCTTTTTCATCTAAAAGGTACAAGAGAATGGGCAGTCCTTAAAACTGCTTCAGAAAGTAAAGAGGAAGAGGTGAAGTCAATAAAGATCAAGACTTATTGCTCAAGAAAGATCTTTCATTGTGTTTTTAAGCCCAATTCTGTGGCCTGTGATCTTCTTAGATCACAAGCATGGATCTCATCTCTGTCCTGTCCTGGTGGGACACTGAGTGATTACCCATCATAAATCCGATGGGACAAAGAAATTCTTCAAGTGGCTCTTCCTTTGTGAGCAAGTAAATGCATGCCAAAGTGCTACTATGCATTGTGGAAGGAGGGTACCAGCTAGACTGGGCCAAGCTGTGTATGGCTGGTGGTGTCTTCTGCCTCGGACATGTGCTATTGTATGCCCTCTCTTTATGTTCAGAACTGTGGCATGTCTGAGGTCAGACTGACCATCTCTGGCCATCCCAAGTAGCTGCTAGTGCCTGGGATAACAACCATTTCAATCCTATCAAACAAAGGAAAATTAGAGCATTGTTATCGCATCATGTATGAAAACTCATACTTGCTGTCATACAGTACATGAGGAGGAAGATGCAAATATGAGCTGGTTGGACACACAGACATTCTTTTATAACCTGAAGGAAAAAGCACAAATACATGCCCTGAAATCTCTCTCATCTTTATCTTAAATTAGTAAATTATGAGATATTATAAATATAGGTTAAATGTTTTATTAAAAATATTGCTGCAGTAAAAGACACCTAGCCTTGAATTCTTTTTAAAATACTCCCCTCACTTTGGACACATCCATCTCATCATCCTTAGTTCACAAACAGGCCTGGAAGTCCTCTTTCCTATCTGTAATTACATTACTGTGGTAGACTCCGTACCCTGAATCCCAGCCAGAACACTGACCTTTCCTGGTCATTTTGATCTCAGGGAAGAGCCAGCTGTTGCAGGGTACCAGATGTGGTGACTAAGGTGGATGAGGACGAACCATGTTTTATGAGCCTTTCCATTGGATGCCACTCAGCAGCAATGTTCACTGTCTCTGCATATTTTTTTAATTACACTTCCTAAAGACTCTCAGGAAAGAAAACTTCCAGAACTGCTTGAGAAACTGGCAGGATTGATGGGATATCTGTGTTAGAATTTAGGGGGAAGATTTTGAGGGAAATGCATAGCAAAGTGTCATCTACTGTAATCAATGTTTAAAAATTTAAACATTCACCTCATATGTGGTCACACTTCCGATAGGAGACAGCTCAGACACATTCCACCAAAGGACGCCTTTCCTGACTCAGGGTGAGACATTCATTCCTCACAGAGTGGCCCGATCTGCTGGCTCAGCTCCCACAGAACCTTGTGCTCTGTCCCACAGGAAGGCGAGGTGTGGTCCATGGCCAACTGCACCATCTGTGCCTGTGTGACTGGCAGGACACGGTGTCGTAGAAAGCAGTGTGTGTCCATCAGCAGCTGCCCACAGGTATGTCTGGATGGTGGCTGTTTTCTCTTCACCTTAGCACCTTGGGAAGCAGCCTGTGTAAGCATCTTGTGAATGCAGAAGCCCCAGATCTGGCAAGGCCTTCACCTTCCGGGTAGCCAGGTCCCCCACACAGCTTCCTCCATCCACCCAGTCTCTCCTCATGGGAACATCTCCAGCTGGCTCTTGGCCTGGCTCCTGGACTTCTTACTGGCTTCTCCCCAGTCCTCTCCAGCTCTTAGACCTGCTCGTCTTTTGCCTTTTCCCTCCTACTCTCCCTTCTCACCTCATGCCTCTTTTCATCAACAAACATATGTGGTTGCTTACTAACAAATTCCCCAAGAAGGTTCTCCCTCTAGCAGCAGCCAGACCTTTTGTTCAAGTTCTCTGTCTACCTTGGCCCTTGTGGAAATATCTCCTTCCAAAACACATAGTCTGGCACCTTGAAGAAAGCACCATTATCTTTTAAAGCAACAGCTTCATTGAATTCACCTCAGCAACACGAAACCTTTCCAGGTTTCATGCATTTTGGGAGAATGTCAAACCTATTCACATCTTTTCAGGGAATGAGAACAACATATCCATATATTCAGGGCTTGCCCTCCCTTCTCTGTTATAGAGAGCTTAATTTCATTTATGTCTGATATTACGATCAACAAAAAGTTACTGTTTTTTCTTGAGTGTCAAAGGTGGTACAAGAAAACAACAGCTACTGCCCTTGCACAACTGAATAAAGGGGTAAAGAGAAGGGAAGAACTCTAATTAGTCCTGTTTTAAAAAGCCTCAGTAGAAAACAAAAAACCTCATATAAAAGAGAGAGGAGATGCGATGAGTAGATATGAGCAGGAGCTGCTTATAAATATTCACTGGGAAAGGGTTCAAGTCGTTCTGCCTCCTTGAGAGCCTTCTGTGGTGAGTCTCTCAGCACTTGTCAGTCATCTCAGCTTCCTCCTCCTGCAAGACACAAACAAGGGCTGTGCCAATCCAATGGTTGACAGTCATCACTGTCCTTTTGTTGCTGGAAGGGTGTGTTGTTTTTCTCTTATTGCTGAGACAAAATACCTGATACCTGAAGTTAAAGGAGAAAAGGTTTATTTAGCTCATTTCCTAGATGTTCTAGTCCATAATTGGCTGGGTCCAAGGGTGGGTAACTTCACAGAGATCAGCCATGGCAGTAGAAGACAGCTAAAGCAAGGAAGGGAGGAGACTAGACTCTTTCCATCCCTCATGTTTTGTGCAGGCTCTCTCTCCTAGGCTAGGAGCAGCACTCACACCCTCAGTCATTACTCTTGAGCCTGTCATTGTCATGAATCAGTTCCAACCTCATACACTCTAGTTCCAGCCACCTCTGAAAAAGCCCCACCTGGGACTGCATGAGGCCAGACACAATCCATAACACAGCACAGTGTGCTATGTCAGCAGCATCACCTGAATGGTCCTTGTTCCCGGATGGGATGCTTTGGGGCTTCCTGCTGATTCCCCTCCCAGCCCCTCCCTCTGCACCTTTCCAAGCTTGTTAGTGTTTCACACAGACTGCAGCCACAGGGTCCACCTTTCTGTTCCTACATGTCTGTCTAGTGTGTCCTCCCCTTCCTGCTTCCCTTCTCAAAGGTCAGCAGAAAGATTGTGGAAGGTGGCTTAGCCTCCCGTGGGAAGTGTTTGCACTCATTTCTCCTCAACACTGACTGAGGAAATTGCAAAAGCTAAAGCGACTTAGAAATCATCAGTATGTCCTGCTCTGTCCTTTTTGGCAGCCAAACAGCTCTTTTCCGGAAGTCCATGTGTCTTAATGCAGAAGGATTTAATGTTGGATTCCCTGCCTGCCTCCAAGGCAACTCTGAAGAGACAAAGGAGTATGGCCTGTGAGAAGGGCTACCAGAGCTCCAGTTGGGACTGGGTCAGCCTGTCATGACACTGTCCTCTCAGTGCCCCTGATGTGTCCTGAGGCTTTCTCTGTGCTCCGAGGACTGCTTGCACCTTACTCTGAGACCTCCTGAGGTGGGCGCTGTGAGCACTCCTTACACCTGGGTTTGCAGGGTGGCCAGACCTTCACAGCCAATTACATGAGCTGGGCTGTGTGGCTTCACACCTTGCTCTTGGTTTACTTATGATCTACCAGAGAGGATATGCTTAGCTCATGAAGTGCTCATGTTTCTTAATAACAGTGGCACAATAATCTCTAACATCCATTAACCCTTAATAAAGCTGCTTCCTCACAATCGTACAACTAGGCCAATGACACCTTTGATGGAGAAAGTGGTCTGTAAATGCTGATCTCCTTCCATGGAGATCAGTGCCTGACTAAGTGCCTGACTGACAAGTGCAGGGTCCTGAGTTCAGTCCCTGGTACTGCAAAAACAAACAAACAAACATGTCATGCAATAAAAACATGGAAAGACACACAGTGAGGGAAAATCCCACAGAACTTCCAAAAAGTAATGGAAATTACTTAATGTTTCCAAATGCTCAGCCCCACTGGCTCTGAGCTCACCTCAGTGGTGGGACACAGGTAAGACAACACTTTCTGTCAGGAGGACTCTGACCAAGTTTACTGTGAAGTACATCAACACCCACAGGATAAGAGAACCCTGAGCCTGGATTGCAGACACGAAGAGAGAAGACAGACCTTGTGCTATTCAGAGGACAGAAACAAGAAGGCCTTCAGGACAGCCAGTCCAGTCCTCAGAACCCGACACCCAAAGCCTCACTTTACCATCATCAGCACCTTGGCCCGATTTTCTTGGTTTATTTGATATTAGGCTGGAAAAAAAGAGCTTGTCCTCAGCAGACCCTGTATTTTAACATTAACTCAGTATTTGTTTTTCTCCTGATTAGGGTAAAATTCTCAACAGAAAAGGATGCTGCCCAATTTGCACTGAAAGTAAGTTCATTGCTTTGAAAACATGCTGTTGTTATTTGTCTGGAATTTCATGATAAGGAAACTAGTGGTGCCCTTTTCTGCATAGTTTAATTCTGCAGGCCTAGGATGGGGTTGTCCCCCACCCTGTGGACAGCTTAATCCACTGTAACCCTCTCATAGAAACACGATAGAGACAGGTGGAGATTTTTCCAAGAGAACTTGTTGCAATGAGAATTAGGAAGATACATGATCTGATGAGATTTTTCAAAGGACCACATAATAGCGGTTAAGATGATGACATCCAGGAACACCAGACATCCATAATCAAGGAGGGACTCTGCATCTCTCGGGTGAAACCACAAAGCTGTGCTTCCTCCCTCAGCCTGACCCCTGCTCTTCACCCCTTGGCCTGGGCACTGCCAGAGTGGCTATTGGTGAGAGGTTGCAGAAACATTAGCTCATGTGACATTGAAGTCCTGTGATTTTTAACTTTAGCTCTTGGAGCTTTTTCCTACACACGGCCTGTTCTACAAGTTGATTAAGCCTGCACAACTAACCTCAGGGCCAGACTCGGCAGCATTATGATCAGATGCAGAAATATATGTGCATATCATGATTTTAGTCCCCTTCAGGTGCATGTATATTTGAGATAGTGTTCTGAAGTATTTTGTTGAAAGAAGGGTGTTGGCAATGCTTTGTTGGATTAGTTTGGTGCTTGCTAAGCAGGATTAACAAAGCCAGGGAATGTATTAGGAAGTATTGCACAAGCTCATGGGCTGTGAAAAGTGGGCCTTGTGGTAGGTTACACGAGTGTTCCTGGAGTAGGCTTGTCCCTTCTATGTATCTAACATCAGAATTTCTATTGCTAAGAGTGAGTTCAATGTCTTGTATAGTTTTGGTTTTTGCATTGCTATACTTTTGGACAGTAGTATGGAGGATCATTTTGTAAACATGTAAAACTTATACTGGTATGTATTCATATTGCTGTCACCTACCATGTATTAACTATGTTAGAGACAGAGCCGTGAGACAACTATACACTGGAGAAAGGTTCTGACAACTGTACACTGGAGAAAATAAATTACAGACTTAATAAAAAGAGTTTTCTTTGAAGATAATGACGTGCATAAAATAACTTGGAAGAGGCTAACAAGTTTGACCTAGTAGAGTTCAGGAAACATACAAGAAGAACTTGCTGTGATTAACACACCAATTGATTTGAAGTAATGTGTGTAAATCGTAACATTTAATTGTCCTACCAGAGGTGCTTAAAGAAGCTTTTTTTGTATAAGTATTGAGAATTCAACCAACCAGTGGCAAACCTAGGGCACAGGGGCCACAGTGGGCTGTTTGTCATCACTGAAAACTCTAAAAGTTTTGCAGTCATTGAACCCAACACCTTTTCATAGAGCTACATCTCAAGCACTTTGTTTTATTCTTTTTTCCTGCAAAGCTTTATTCTAGAAGGGCTTAGTCCTTCTTGGCAGCTGCCTTCCTCATGGCGGCCAGCATGTTGCTCAACTCCTCATGCTTCCTCTTGGTGTGGATGTGCATCTCCATCCTTTTCTTGATGAACTTGGGGACTTGTTTGTCCTTAGAGACAAACCTTGAGCAGCTCCATGGTGTGCTCCTCATAACGGGCAAAGCTGCATACCTGGATCATGTCCTGGAAGAATTTAGTGAGGTGTCTATGATGGTGCCTGTGCCTCAGTTTGCTCACATTTTTAGTCACCTTGTTGCCCCTGTTGAGGCCCATGGCCATGGGATAGCAGAGGGCCATAGCTACTGCTCTTCAGTGGTTGCTGTGGCTGGCTAAACTTACTTCTTGAGAAAAGGTCTGGCTGGCCACCTATGAACTAGCCATGCAGCTCAGTCTGCCCTCAAGCTCTCAATCCTGTCTCAGCCTCTAAAGGTTAGGATTACAGCCCAGTGTTACCACACCCAACACTATATAGCCAACTTTTGGTTGGTCCACCTTGACTCTGGCTGGCTGCAGAATGCTAGTTTTCTAATTCCACCACTCTCCATTTAGCACTTTTAGTCTATTGTAAACAACAGCCCTTGCCTTAATCCCCCTTATTTGTTTATGATCAGTGTGGAATTTCCTTTGTTAATAAACTCTAGAACCTTTAAATTCACAAACTGCTATTTTAACTGAGATAATTTATATACTAAAAAATTCATTAATTTTAGTGAGTGGCTCCAATGAGTTTTAGTAAATTCAAAGTTGTTCATGTGTTACCAAATCACATTTCCACAATCCCAAGAAATTCCCTCATACCCCCTTGCAGTCATTCCTCCCTCCCTCCTCAACTTGGGAAACTAAACTCTACACCTTTGTCTAATCTGCTAATTCCCTATAAATGGGTAATAAATAATATGTAGTTTTATCTGACTTCTACTTTTCTGAGATTTACATTCGAAGTTTGGTTGCTTTTTATTGCTAAGTTGTACTTATCACATGGAAATGCCATCTCTTATTTCATGCGTTCATCTGTTACTAGACATTTGAATTGTTTCTATTTTGACTATTTACAAATAATTGGGCCCAGGGAGATGGCTCAGTAGAAGAAGCACTTCCCTGGCAAGCACAAGGGCCTGAGTTCAATCTCTGGTTCCACAAAAATAAATAAATAAATAAAAATAATAAAATAAAATAAATAAATAATGTCATTATTAGCACTCAAAAAAAAAGAAAAGGTCTGACTAATGTTTTTGAGTTGCCCTGGCTGGGTTGTAATCCCCCTGCCTCATCATCCTGGGTATCTAGGACCACAAGGTGTACCACCATCCTGGTGCACAAGCATTGCCTCTAGATGGTGCTGTGGCTGCTTTCAGCTTCACTCTTCCCTCAGGGAGGAGCTAGAACCTACATGGTTGAAGGTTTCCTTCTTCCAGCTCCTGTTTCCCTTGCCACGTGAACATTCTATTCCCTTTTTCCAATATTTCGATGAGTTACTGTATTCTATTGTTCAATATGTTATTGGTGATTTTGGGTCTGTGTTTATCCCCATTTGAGAAACTCAGCCCAGCACACAGGGGACACAGCCCAGATGTGGGCACAGTGAGCAGCCATGGAGCTGAAGCAGAGTACATACTCTGAGTGCTACTGCTGAGACACAGCCAGAAAATCCAGCAGCACTGCCCTCCACTGTGGGAGGTGAAAGTCAGAGCCCCTGGTTTCACTTTATATGTCTTTTATTTAATTCCCTTGCCCTCCAGTGGATTATAACTTGATGCAGTCAAAGTCCCACTATTTGCTTTCATTGACCAGAAGATAGAAATGACTTTGGAGCCCTTCTCTGATGGCCTGCAGCACTGAGTACTAAGCTCGCATCTGGCTGCACATACATGTTCACACGTGTGTGTTTTGAATTGTGCAGTAGGTTTGTCTGTGTGCTCTCTTCCATTATTTTTCTTGGGGGGAGGCAAGCCCGTGTACAAACATAAATGAAACAGGTTGATTCCAGAGCTCAAATACCCCAAATCTCTTTTTTATTTTCAGCATTGGTTGAATGAGTGTTGCCTTATTTCCAGTGGGGATGGCACTGTGCCTTGTGTTTCTAACCTCTTGTAGAATTTCTTCCTGCCCATGCTGGTCTGCTCTTGGTCACATTCAATAGCAAGGAAGGAACATGAATGTGTAGACCTTTCTCCAGGTGCCCTTGCAGTGCTTAGCAATGATGGTGACTTACACTCCTGCGGGTGGAGAGTGATGCTGGAGGATGCTGAGATTTCTACCAAAATGAGGGGGAAACTCCTCTTAAAACCTGACCTGCAGGCTGGGGATGGAGCTCAGTGGCACAGTGCCTGTCTAGCAAGTGCGAGGCCCTGGATCTGACTGCTAGTACCAGAAAACAAAAATAGATCTACAGATTTACAAACAGTATTGCCATCTTTGAATTGCTTGAAACTGTTGTCTTTCCTCTTTCCAAAAGAAAAGGAATCAATTTGAATTGGATGGTTTCTTTCAAGTAAGATATCTCAGATGAGCTAAATAATCTTCAGAGAGCTTTGGGCAAGTGCTACTTCTTGCCAAGATATGAGATGCAGCCTGGAGGTGGGGCCCAGGCTGACTGTGAACCAGGGGCCAAGAGGGCCACTTGCTACATGTGAACAGCTCTTGGTTTACATGAAATGTTGTTTTGCTGTGAGTTGGAAACAGTACATGGAATGTTAACTTGGTGTTCCCACAAGAGATCTGAATCAGATAAGTTCTTTCAGATCTAGAAGCAATACTTAGCATTGAAGTTTTCACTGATAACAGCAATATGTGAGAATTTGTTTATCTGCCTCTATGACTTTGCATGTGTGAACAGGGAGGAAGGACAGGAAGGAGGGATAAAGAGAGATGGCGAGGCTGATTATATGAGAAATTTAATGTCTTTATTGTCTACAAAACCAGAAGCATCCAGATGTAGGTAGCTGCTTTTAGGTGTCATGGATTAGTAGATAGTGGCTGTGCTTGTACGACCTGCTTGTGCCCTGAGCTTCCCAACCTCAGGGAATGCTCTGGATTGCCCAGCTGTGCTGCAGGTCAAGGGTGTTAGCACGACGTATTTCATTGCAGTAACCTCAAGGGCTCCTCACCCATAGCAATGAGAAATCTATATGCCAGCAACTTAGCGTGCAAGGAGATTCACAGTTTCCAGGTGACTTCCTAATCTCCCAAGAGTGAGTTTCTAGCTGTGTGCAGCTCCTGCATCTGCCCTAGCTCCTGTGGGTCATGGCTCACACCCACCTCCATGGCAGAATTTGCCCCATGGAGTTTGTGCAGGTCTCACTTCAGCCCCTGTGCTACCTACAGGTGTATACAACCAGACAGGTTCATCCTAGGAGGAAGAATGGAAGAACAATTTCACTAATTTCCTGGGAAAAAAGCCACAAGGAAAATGTGACCTGGGGCTATTTTAGGAGAAATCATTGAAAAAGGATCTGAAAATTACCACTTCTGTGTTTGAGTAACATTTATGGCCTCAGAAACTGCAAGTGACTCCAGTTCTCTCAGTCCTGAGATTCTG